AAGGGTATCCGCGTCTCGGTATGCGCGAAGCGCGAGGAATCCGATCAGAGCCAGATCTCCCAAGACAATGACCCAGCTGAGAAATGTTGACCAGGAGAACAAGAGATGGATGACGAACATGACAGTGAAGACTAGACTACTCTGCCACGCATGAAACCTAGCGCCATGGAATTAGCATAGTTTCGAACCTTGGGTGCTTAAATTCGACCAGCCCTCCCGAGACCTCCATTCCAAACTTCCCTCCTCTCCTCGTTGGAATGCAAGGCCTCGGAAGCAACGTCGACACGACGCGAACCTCTTAGTCCAAAGAGAGGGTACGTTTGAGCCACACTCACCTAACATAATCGCTCTTCCGCTCAAGAATCAGCAGCACGATGGCGCCGAGCGGCGGTATACCGATATACGCAAGGACGGCCTCGTAGTCGAGCCGCAAGCCCAGGCTCGTGTCAAACTCACTAACAAAACCCCCGCCACCGCCTCCGCCCAGCCCTATCCCGCTACCACCGCCGCCGCCCAAGCCGTCCTCGGAAGCATATCCCGCGTGCCACGAGCGCTGCGGCTGCGGGTGTTGGAGCGGGGGAGGAGAGGAGGCGGCGAAGTTGCGCTGGGACGGGCTGAAGGACTGCCGGCGATCGAGCGATGCGCGCGGCGAGACGGCGCCCTCGGCCGCGGGTGGGGAGAATGGCCTGTTGTTCTCGGGCGGCGAGCTCTGGTACGGCGCGAAATCCATCGTAACGGCGACTGTGACTGTGACTTCGTTGCGTTGGTTCCTGCGGGTCTCGCGCGACCGCTATGAGGGTGAGGGTGAGGGTGAGGGGCTCGACTCGAGCCTTGACTTGATGGTTGTGGATTTCGCTATTTGCTTCGTCGGCTCTCGTGGGTGAGACAGACCATGGGCGGGATTAAGATTACGAGTACAGAGTAGGTATTAATGGCTTGCTGCACGTGGATAGGGGAATGACGTTGAAAGTTGTCACAGGTTCTCAGCTCCGAGGTCACGGAATGCGACATGCATGAACGCAGCAGGCTGGCTTGGGGCTTGGCGCAAACCATGGTGATCTGCAGGGTCCAGTTTAGCGCATTATTGCAGCGTACTCAGAGTGGCGGTCACTGCTGCAGTCACATTGTTTTATACCGAAGGTACTATACCTACTTAAGTCTAAGGTACCTACTTAAGTACCTACAGGCCGAGCTCCACTTGCTGGTATTTTGAGGACTAGGGCATCATAGACAATATGAGACTACGTACTAATTATTCAGAAGAGCCTTTCTTATTTTCATGCAAAACCGAGTCTTACCCAAGATATCGGGTGTTTGTTAGATACACCATGGTAGTTTCCGTCGATATATCTACATTTTTGTTCCAGGTATACTGTTTTACATCGCTTTATAGAACATGCGGATAAATAGTACACGCCTTCTAGGCGTTGGTCTCGTTCTCGGCCTCGCCCTCCTTCTTGCCCCCGTTGGATTCCTCTTCCAGCTGTGTCCGTCTGCCCTCGAGAGCCAGCCATAACCCCTTGCTGTGGCCCTCCAACGCTGTTGTAAGACCGAGGCCAGCATGATGTAACATGGAAACGACCTGCGCCCGCAGTCCATCGAGGCCACCCTGGATGCCGCCAACCCATTTGATCCCGTCAAGGTCGAATGTCTTGTCTTCTATTCTGCCTCCGACGAGAATGAGTTTCTGGAATCCGCTCTGGGCGATGGGGTCGTGGTATCCGGGGTTCTTCTTCCTTGTGGGGGCAGGAAACGCAGGGGGCGATGGCGAGAGGACCTTGAGCACCGCTGCCAAGTGTGCCGGTGAAACCGAGGGGAAAGTTACGGCGGCAATAGGGCCTATGAGTAAGGGACTGATCTGACTATAGGTGGACGACTCATCAATAGTGGCATTCTTGATTGACTCGTAGGCTGCCTTGGACAGATCATGTGTGTACGCGTTCGACCTTTCGGCGTGGTCCTCGGGCTTAAAGTAGTCGACTATTTTACAGGCAATATTGAACATGCGTGTGCGTATCACCTGGAACTCAATGCTGGATGTGATATCGACGGGGACAGCGCCGTCAGGCCCAGCGACGGGCGGCGGGACCTCGGCCAGAGCGGCACGCAGCTCTCGCCGCACGGCTGCCCATTCCACCGCAGTTAGGTTGTTGTGTTGGAAGAAGAGCATCAAAGGCGTCGATCGCAGCATTGCCGTGTACGAGCGAAGAAGCTGGGCCTTCCTTTCTTCGGGCCGCCGAGCACTTGGAGGTTGAGTGGGCGGGATATAGTCGTCGGGTAGCCTCAAAGCGCCGAGGGGGATTGGTGAGCGAGCTGTTGCATAGTGCCTCGAAGCTGTCGGCGAAGTTGTCGTCGAAGCTGTCCTCGTCGCATTCTGAACCGTGAGAGCTGGCACCCAAGCCGCGCTTGTCGTTCGCTGCAAAGCTCGCCCTACGCTGCTGCTGCGCGCCGAACAATTCAGCCGCGGCGGCATTATGGGCAATTCGTCGGACCGTAATTAACTCTGCCTTTTCACACCTTCTCTACCTCGATCCTAGTGTTGTTGTTGTTGTTGTGGTTGTCGTCAGGTTGTTGGGCGTGGTGGTTGTTGCTCTCACTGCACACAATACTGTTGGCTTGTCGCAAAAAGCTGAGATGAAAATAAGTGGGCCATGCCTGCTTCCCCAGCCGCGGACTTGGGCAGGGCGGGTGCGGTCCGGCGGCAGTCGGAGGTCGGAGGCTTCGATCTTTTGACCTCAGCCAATCTGCCGCATCCCACCGCTTTAATTGCTAGTAGACGATAAAGCATCTTAACTACCCATGTCCCTGCTGGGACCCCTGTCCCCTGCCCCATACCCCTCCATCGATTAAGGTATCGATCGGAATGATAATGATGGCGGGGCAGCAGCAATAGCAATAGCAACACACCTCGGGTTGCAATCCCATCACTTGAGTCATCTGCAGGGACGGGTGAGTCTGGCATTCCGAAGACTGCAGGCCAATTGCATGGCTTTGAACACGTATATTTATGAATTCTCTCTACTTCATCTGAGACCTCCCCTCAACCCATACAATCCTGTCACAATTCCCAGTTAGCTCACTAGAAATTGTTGAGAATTGCGAATTGAGAATAGACTTTCCGAACTCGGCATCTTGACGACATGGCCGCTGCGATGCAAGACCAGCAAAATCTCGTCGACATCCGCCCCTTGCTTCAACGTCTATGGCCGGATCCTGAAAAGGAGAACGTAACAGCTCACGATATCGCCGAGGCCATCTCGCTCATCTTCGTCAATCGCCTGAGCCCTGTTCAAACAGGCTCGCTCCTAACGGCACTGCATTTCACGGGCTGGGACCGTCGTGCTGATGTCTTGGCTGCAACCTCCGCCGCCATGCGGCGCCATGCGGCCAAGATTAACTTCCAGAGCTTGGGAAATGCCATATCAAGCAAACGGCGTCCCGAAGGGAAATATCTAGGCGGATTAGTGAGTTCCCCGTAGAAGCGTTCCGCCCTCAGAACTCGAAAACATTTTGCTAACTTATTTCGTAGTGCGATATCGTTGGCACAGGAGGCGACTCTCACCATACTTTCAATATCTCTACAACATCCTCCATCCTCGCCTCGTCTCTGCTTCTCCTCGCCAAGCATGGCAACCGTGCATCAACCTCCAAGTCTGGTTCTGCTGACCTGCTCATGAACATGCAACCAAAGCCTGCCCAGCTCGCCCGTATCACTCCCGACACCATCGCCACCGTCTACCAGTCCACCAACTATGCATTCCTATTTGCCCCCATATTTCACCCGGGTATGAGACATGTAGCTTCCATCCGCAGAGAGATCGGGTGGCGCACCATCTTTAACCTCCTAGGCCCTTTGAGCAACCCCCTCGACGACGCCATTGAAGCACGTATGCTAGGTGTTGCGCGCGATGATCTGGGACCCGTCTTCGCTGAGGCTTTGCGGTTGGGCGGCGCGAAGAAGGGTTTGGTGGTCTGCGGCCAAGAACAACTCGATGAGATTTCGTGCGCCGGCCGTACTCTCTGCTGGCAGCTGGTTGAGGGTGGCAATAACGGCGTTGAGGTCCAGCACTTCCTGGTTGAGCCTAAGGACTTCGGGCTTAGTGCACATCCACTCAACACTGTTTCGCCTGGCAAAGAACCTCATGAAAACGCAGAAATTCTACGTAAGATCTTGCAGAACGAACTGCCAGACGACGATCCTATTCTTGAGTTCGTGCTAATAAACACGGCGGCTTTATTTGTCGTCTCGGGTATCTGCGAGGCTGACACGAGTGCGATGGGCCCCGGCGACGATGGTAAAGTTATTACGGAGAGAGGACCTGGTAACGGACGTTGGAAGGAGGGAGTCAGGAGAGCAAGGTGGACAATTAAAAGTGGTGAAGCATGGAAGCAATGGACAGCTTTCGCCGAAGTTACGAATACCCTACCAATTTAATCTCGGTGATGTTGTAATACTGGAAAATAGAGGATTATAGGGATGGGATGATGGTGGAATTTACTGACGGCCTTTCAACATGCCAAAATGTGAAGAACAGCCAAATCTGGAAGCTGGCTAGTAATTTGGTGCTGTTTGATTTTCTCTATTATATACCCATAAGCGTGTGTTGCGTTAGGCTACAGGCTTTGGAATAGTATTAGATAGATTATTAGAAGTGAGTACAGCTAACGTTTTATTAATTTTACATTGATTGTTCGTACTAATTTTTCTTACTCTCGTCTCCATCGCTATCACATGGGGGGAATCTATTACATACTGAGGATAGCTTCATATTGTTCCACGTTTGGTGAGAATGCCTATACATCCTTCCTCAATGACCCCTTGAATATTAATAATAGACTTGAGCCATATGTGCCAGTAAGCATATAGAGTTTACTAGAGTACTAATTGATGATCGGATGGAAGAGGGGCTGTCCATCACGAAAAAGAAACCCCGGAAACAAAATTTACTATAGAAGAGCAAAAGATATATACGATTGTAACAAGCAAAATGAATCCACAACTCTCGATCGGGGAATCGAACCCCGGCCACCTGCGGCTTGTTCTATATAGTAAGACAATCACTAGATCAAGTGAATTGCAACATACGTAGAATGACAAGCAGGTATCCTGACCACTAGACCAATCGAGATTTCGTTGTTTGTTGACGACTTGTGTGCGTGGTTGGGGGTGCTGTGTAATGAGAACTATACCGGTCGTGAGTTAGTTTGGTGGAGTTTGAAGAGAAGTGTTGCCCTACACTAATTTAGGATACTTATTACTGCAGGTAGTTGGGTGCCTAACATGGGTAGGTAGCTAACCGTACTTGATTAGAGAATCAGCAACTCCAGGGGTAGGAGAGGGAAGACTACGAATTTATATTTAACGTGCTATTGTAGTTGATGGGTTGAGTACTCGATCTCGAAACTGATGTGGTGACTATGAAAACACCATGCTTAACTTCGCTACCGCAAACAACTAGTACCCCTAAACCATCATACGAGGCAAATTTATCGCAGTGCCGAACTACAGTGGAAAATCTCCTAGGTTTCATATCACATTCCGTGTAGAAATTCCTTAGTCTAGAGACCCAGCTCGTCTATAGTTTCAAAATGGAGATTCCAATGTTAGTCGTAAGTGATGTACTGCTCGGGTACTTCAGCATATACATCGACAGAATCCTTATTACAGTGTCCTGTGACAGTTTGCTAGTCTAGGATACAGTAGCATGAGTACGGCGAATTTTGAGGCGAGATTTAGGCAAGTGTGGTATGTGTTTGCAGCTAATACCTACCTAGGTACTCATACACGATAAGAGCATCCCGCCAAAAGCCCAAAAATGTGCTCCGCTTAATGACCGCCTCTTCCCCTGAAACGCCGATGAATCTTTCGCCCTGACTGATCCTCACCCTATCTAGACAGTACACCACGAACGGATCCCTTTAACGTCGGCTTTCCCTCGAATACCTGCTCACCGATACCGGTATCCCCTCCGCTTCCGACATCAAGCCATCGAGCTAGTAAGTCGTTACTTTCCTTGGGTTTGACCCAATCATCCCGTGTACCCACCGTGATGTGTGCTACTTTGTTGACACAGGTCCATTTGTCCTCTTGATCTAGTAGCCGCACCACAATAGCCATGATGCGGTTGTCGAACACAACACGTTCAAGCATGACTTCGCACTCGCCGACCTTGCCATCTACGGACTGGCTCTCAGCTTCGAGGGTAGTGTAACGTTGCCATAGTTCAGGATATTGTTTAGCGGCAATCCTGTGCATGAGTGTAACGTGAAAGAGAGGCTGGATACGACGGGTTTGCTGAAGCTGCTTGTAGAATCGCTGCATTTGTGGATCGAGGTTCTTGAAGGCCGACTCCAGTGCCACGTTGACTTCTTTGGCGGGAACTGAGATAGACATATACTCAAGCGGCTTCTTCTTTTTGGGTTCATTCGATTGCTGGGTTTCTTGCCTCTTTTGATCTCTTTTGCTCGTCCGATCAGGTATCTGATGTTTTATGCTCGGCGAATAGTCCTCAATGGCACGCTTGACAGCTGTGTCCATATCTTCCGCACTCGGCATGTCTGGAATCAGCAACGGATATTTTTTATGGAGCTCAGTAACTGCTATCTCAACGTTCGCACGGCTGCCCTGAGTAGGGTCGAGGTCGATGACGAGGTCAAAGCCATTGTCGGGTTTGCATTCCGGGTCACAAGGCTGGAATCTCTGTATGAAGTTCTCCATGATACCAATGACCTTATTCTCGTTCGATGCTGCTTGGATAGTTTGATGATTATCGCCACGTTGCAGTACTCGGTCTCTTGTAACTCTTCTGACTTCGTCAATGTTACCATGAGCGAAATTCAGAGCCACGAGCCGGGCATTCTTGTTCTGCATGAGGATATCTTTGATGATTTGCTCTCGCTCTCGGCGTTCAGAGTTATTCCGGTCAGCAATAACGACGGGATGCTCCATCAAAGAAGACATAACAGCCTGAACCATTCTTGCCGGGCGGCCCTTGCCCTGGATATTATCGTTCTGAATGATGCCCCAACCAAATAGATGGGTTAAAGCGACACCAACAGTGGTTTTACCGCATCCAATCGTAGCGATTGGTACGAGAACAACGTTGTCTGACACGCTGGAGGTATCGTCTCCAAACACGTTCTCAAAATTTGCAGCGTCGGAACCTTTCAGATTCTTATACGCGAGGAAGTCATCCCGAAGAGAAATAATGCCGTGATTCTGGTTGTAGAGCTTGGCTAACTTTGGGTCCTTGGCTAACCGTTGACGAGCATACAGTAAGTACTCCTCGGTAATCTTGATATGCTTCTTGAACTTGGGGGGCTTCCCAGCAATAAGGGCTTTGGTACATTCTCGCCATTGTCGGTACATCAAGTATGGCTCTTCAAACTTGTATTTGAAGAACCAGTCGGCGTATTTCGTTTGTTCCGCATCCAATGACAGGCCACAGCGAATGACAAATCCTTCAACGTCTCGACCCTCGTGTGCGCCAGACTCAGCAACCTCCTCCAGGAAACTCTTGACGGTGTCGACATCATCAAAGACTTGTAGCCCAACTTTTCGGAAACCCCAATCATCTGCGAATTGCTGAACAAGGCCGCTCGGATATGTCATGAACTCCGGGATGTTAACGTTGATACCGTGAAGATATAACCCGGCCTTGTCTGGACCGTACGCCAGAATGTGTTCCTCGAAGTCATCATCACACAACTCGGCTACTGCTGTGACGTTTCTACTCCGTAGCTCGCGAGCAAACTCTTCTCTGGTTTTGCCAATGGTTGCCAACTGTTTGTCCACCCATCTCTCACCAGCACTGGCATGGCTCACCTCAACATCACTCCGATCTCCGGTCGAATGCTTGCTGCAAACGAGGAGAGTTCCATCTTCCAAGCCGCTGATAAATATGATACAGCCATTCTCTTTCAAAGTGAGCTCGTAGGGGCCTCGTGTCTTGCGCCTGATGTTCTCCCATCTCGTGTCGAAAACCTCATCGACATTGAAAAATTTGTCGTAACCTCTTACGGCGATCTCGTGATCGTTGTGACGATTCCTCGTGGTGAAGAGGCCCCGCGCGTAGGTAGGCAGGTTGGGTTTCTTGTAATCCCAGTCTTGAAAGCGCCATGAGTCGACACTGAGGCCGTCAGGCGACCCGGGGATCTTAAAAGTCGTCTTCTTGACCTTGAATCCCGACTTTGCCTTGTTGCTCCCATCGTTCAGGGAACGAACGAGTTGGGAGTTCTGCCGAGGGTCCTGCTCACGATAAGGAGCCTTGAGAAGATCCATGATGAGCTGATGACTGGGGTATGAATAATCGAAAAAGCGAATGGTTTTAGGCGGAGGTATCCTGGATGGCGAGGCCAGGTAAGCGTGATGAGCCGTAGACGTGCCAGTAATGACCCTACCAGTACCAAGTGTGAAAGATGGGAAAGATGTAAAGCGAAGAAGCGAACTGCGGGTAGCACCAAGTCAGCCGGCCAGTTGTCCTCACTACTTATCCGTTTGTTGTGTGAAGGTGGGGGGATAGTAAGACAGGACAGATCGGATGGACTAGAAAGACAAAGAGGGTTTATTTATCTGAAGCAGGTCTTTGGTACACAACAGAAGTAGAAGATGGTGACAACCTCTTGAGCAGGGAGATGACAACTGCCCGCATGAGTCACTCGCACAGTCAAGCCTAATCCCTTCTGTTGCTAGGACTGTCCATGTAGGCTACCTGTTGTTAAGGGCGTCGCAGATACCAAGGCTGGCGTAGATGGGATACTGAGATAGGTAAGTAACTTAGGATGGCTCAACATAGAATTAATTCTTTCGCCTTTCCAAGATATCCCCACGAGCCTGTCTTTTTTTAGCTAAGATATGCCTAACCTGAGGTGCCTATAGTAGCAGAAAAGGTGAAATAACATTGGGTTGCTTCCATGCTAGCCGGTTTTGGTACGGCACCCAAACCTCCCTAGGTTAGGTGCGAGGCAACCGTATTTAGGGCGGTAATTCTCCGCTAACCCCACCAACAAGCAAGGGGAGCAAAATGCCTTACAGCACCTCCCTGCAGCGCAAGTTTGGCGGGGTATTTGACCATGCGTCACACCGTGAGCCCCTCCAAGAAAAAAGTTCAGCTGTCGCATCATAGTCCGTTCCTTCTGTTCTGTCTAAGTACCTAACATTTGCGCTTACCCGCATCAGCTTATTGGGAGGCATCTCGATCCTGGCACCACGAACTCATTTGCTCTATTACAGAAAGTCAATTGGGGGTCATCGAGATTCCTCTGGGCCATCGTAATGCCTCCAAATCCATTCCTCCTCGCCGCTGACAACAGTCCGGCTCTCCTGCCCCTCCTTCGCGAAAACCCAGCTCTAGCCAGCCAGCAAGACGAGCATGGCTACTCTCTAATCCACGCCGCCGCCAGCTATAACCACTTGGATCTTCTACGTGCCCTTGTGCAAGAGTTCAATGTTGATGTCAACCTACGCGATGAAGACGAGGAGACTGCCTTATTCGTTGCTGAGACAGTCGATGCTGCCAAAGTCCTCGTCGAAGAACTCGGCGCCGAGATCATGATCAAAGGATCTGATGGCTGCACCGCTCGCCAAAAGATCACCGAGGAGGACGATTTCCCAGACGTAGCCGAGTACCTCAAGCTTAAGGAAACAGAGCGGGCCCGAGATCTATTGAATGGGACTAATGGCGAACCTGTACAAGATAGCAGTGATATGCCGTCCTTGCCTCAGGGACTCAACTTTTCTGTTAGCACCGTCAACCCAGCCGAAAACGACGAGAGCGAAGTCGACCCTGAATTTAGGAGGAGGATAGAGGAATTGGCCCAACGTGAAGATTTTCACAGCGAGGATGGCCAGGCTGCGCTCAGAGAGCTTGTCCAAGATGCAATTGCCGATGGGGGTCTCTCGGACCGCAATGTCCGACCCCGTCAAGATTGAGCATTGGCAAGAGATAAACCTTCCGGTTACGATCGCAAATCAACACGGATGCTCATTCGTGCCCCTTGATCTCCCAGAGAACATATTCTCCTGGACTGTCTGGTGGCCTCATAATGGTACAATCTGCACCATACCCAATAGCAACTCGACTAAATGGTGTGGCGCTGAATGAAAACCATGCTTTTGGTGGAAGCGCTT